TCTGGTTAACTTAACAGTGATATGCATTTTACAGGTTGGGAACCTCAAATATATGTTTTAGGCAGACAGTATCTGAAAAGTAGAGGGGACACCATCAGCTATACATACTGTATATATTTATATGTTTTTATATATGTATACTATAAATATAAGACAACTTGGTTCTCACTGACTCATATTGGAAGCTTTCAAGCACTCAGTCACTCCACCAGCTTTTGGTGGAAATAATCTTAAACTCTTGGATAGCTGAGGAAGTAGCTATGTTCATAGCTACGTTCACGCATCATGGTGTATAATCTGGGAAGAAAATGGGTCAATATGCTGTGGGCTTTCCATAGTCCCTTGTGTGAGTACAGTGCCTCTCCACTCAGAACTTTTCAGCTTTTATGTACTGTTTGCTTTAGGGCAGAAACCTGTGTAGATAGTGAGACAAAACCAGACAGACCTTCTAGCAGTAAACATAGTTGAAGAACATAGTTGAAGAACAATATGGCCATTTCTGAGTGCTTTGTTCCATAGAGAATCACAGAGTTGTTGATGTTTGAAGGGGCCTCTGGAGATCATCTAGTCCAATTCCTTGCTTAAAGCAAATTCAAATAGATCAGATTGCCAGAGCTGTATCCCACTGGGTTTTGAATGTCTCCAAATATGGAGAGTTCATAACACTATTTTTAATATTTTGTGTGTGTGTGTTTGAGAATACAGTATCAGAATTAGTTCATGCCTATCAACTCCCCTATGGCCTTCACCAGTTGACCCACTTACTTTTTTTTCCATGAACTTTTTCATTTTATTTTAAGAATTCAACTCTGCAGTTTTAACTTTTGGGTTAACTTTAGGGTTTTGACTTTTGTTGTTAATTATTTTCCAACCTATACCCCAAAATCCTCTCTTGCCTCTTCACTACATCTGTTTTGACATAGTTTGTATTAAATATATATAAAAGAAGAGTATAAAAAGATAAATAATGGTATTGTAGTGCAAGTTCCAACAGAAATGATGTGCACACTCATCCACTATTAAAGACACTCTTGTTTGGAGCATTTGTGTATTTTGACTGCAGTTTGTGAATATATAAGCGTATAAATGGAGTGGAAAGCTTCTGGTGAGTTCTCTGTTTTTTGAATGACAACTAAAACTTTGTCGGTCCTGACCATACAGCTGTTTTGTGCCATTTACCTTATTTTGTAAGACTTCTGCAATTTAAAAAAATTACATGTTCCATGTATATCTGTAACTGTGGAAACTATGAAGTAATTAAGAAGAGTACAGTCGATGCTTCTGTAGCTCATCAAGACAGCCAAATGTTCAAACAGTTAGAGAAAACTTTTTAGGTTTTTTTAAAGAAGGTTAGAAGAATACACAAAAATTATCTATGAGAGAATGATTTCTAAGGTAGCTTAACGTTCTATGAGAAATGGAGATTGATGTTACAGAAAATGGGGAAATGAGGCTAGCAATTCATGGTTAATATATCAGAAGAAACTGAAGGAAATTCAAGGAAGAGAAATAAAGTTGACAAAGGAACTGATCTAGGAGGAAAGAGTAAGACCAAAGCTATAGTTGTGCTTTAGAAGATCATAGCTGCAACTATGACAGTGAAATTTTTTTTGTACTATATTTTAGTGGTGTGCATTAATTAATTTATTTGTGTAGCAGACTTAGGAAAGAACTTGCAGGGAAGAATATTTCAAATTACTGTATGTAAATATGCTGGTGTGAATTTTTAGACAAAACTCCTGCCTTCACTTCTAGTGATTTTGATTTCTTCCTTGAACTCCAAAGGTATTCTTGAAGAAGTACATTCTGATAGTCCCAAATCTTCATTCGTGAAGCCTAGCCATGACATTCTGATAGTGGTTGGAACCTGACTGTGTGCTGTTTTAGAGATGATATTTCATATTATTACATTATAGTTGCCTGAGTTTTTCGCTTCCACGCTCATTTTGCTGCAGGATTATTCTAGATAGTGTTTAATTTTTGTGGAGGTTGTTGGCAGCTTTCTGAAATATTGGCAACTGTAACTGAGAGATTTTGGCAGAAGGGCATGAGAAGAAAGTCAGTTGTTTTTTGGTTTATTTTTATCTTAATATGACTAGTAACACTGTTGCTAACAGCAATGTAAACAAAACCCTTTTGATGTTAACTCCATGAAACATTTCTTCACCGTATCTTTTCCTCCTGGTTCCATAGGCAGTTTGTAGTTGGTTTAGAAACTTGGGCTGGGAGTAAGACTAGGATCAATGTGTGACCTGTCTGCTCAGTTGCCTAAAGGTAGACATCTGATGCAATATTTGGATGCCCTATGGTACATGAGACACATACACATGGCTGGCAGATGTAACCTAACTCTTACGATAGGCTTATGCCCTCCTAAGTGGCATGTGGCAGCAAGATGGGATATGTTGATTTATTGCTAATGGCACTAGCCTATCATTAGACGTAGGATTTCATTTTATTTTGCTATGTCTACTTGAAAGTGAGAGGATTCTCTTTGTCTGGAATCTTAAATACCTGCCATGGTTATGGTAATTTCTGACCATTTCTGACCAAAAATTTAAGCATCTTACTCGCGTCCTTATTTGTACACATGGAATCTCATTTGAAAAGATAACATCTCAGTTAACTGTGAAAGGCAAGCAGAAAAAGACTAGGAAATGCAGTCTCTAGTGCAAGAGGAAAATTCTAGTAAAGGCAGACTTTTAAACATCCATCCTGGAAGCTCTCAGTCAAACCTGTAAATGGCACCACAGGCTTTAAGGGGACGTGTAATTCTGTGAGCAGTGCAGCCTATGAGCACGTCTTGTGGTTGAATTGCTATGTCAATACTGTAATGACAAAAAAATTGCACCAATTAAATATTTATAGGGCTTTTATACAACTGCCTGTTTCATGTAACTTTTAAGAATATAATCACTTGAAATCTTTCATGCCTGTGCAAAATTTTATTGCATTTGTCCAGTGGGTTAAAACATTATTGTAGGGTGTGGGGAGAAAAGGGGGAAGAACCCAATCAGCTGTCAGCAAAATCCTTCTTTTCTTGGCAAACTAGGGTAAAAATATCAAGCTAATAACCTAAGTTTTGAAGAAAATCTGCTCTGCACAATAATAGAAGATCAGAGACCTAAGATGGCTTTAATGTCACAGTCCTAAAGTGGCTGAGCCCTGTATGTCTGATGAACATCAGCATGGGAAAAGTAGTCCTCCCTGCCTGGAGGGGTGGACGGCAGAGAATTGCATGGTCCTTTTGAAACCTTCAGTCTAGAGGAGAATCTAGATGAGAATCTAGACTCCTAGCTACTTCTTTACTAACAAATTAAATCTAATCTGGGACTATTCCTAGATTTTAGAGTATTTATACAAACAAAGTGACACAAAGCTTCTTGGCACAGTCTTGGTCTTTTCCCCTTAGCACTTTCTTATCTTTTTTTCCTGGTAGTTTCGGAGTTGGGATGTTCTGCGGTGCACCTGCAGGAAGCAATTTGCATGCAACCACCTTGCTTTGAAGTAGAGCAGAGTTCCTAGCATAGATGCAGTTTATTTTGTGTCATTTGGCTTCAGTGCTCAAAAGTGTTTCTGTGAAAGTCTAGTGTGCTAGTATTGGTGTTATTACAAGATGTAATTTAGCAGGAGACAGTGAGACAATGCTGTAGGCAAAACATCCCCTTATCCCCCTTTGCCTCTGTTTCTCGCTGCATGATTTCACTACTTGTCATACCCTCCATAAGAAAAATAGATGTGACAAAAAATGAAAGCAGTTTAAAAAATACAGATTAATTTCTATAGTGTTTTTAAATACAAGTGGCTCCTGGGAGAATGTGACAGTCAAGGAATAGGATACAAGCGAGTGTGTGGCACAGGGAACCTGGGAGCAAGAAAGAGAAAGGACAAACCCTGATAGGAAGAAAGAAGAGCAAAAGAGGAGCGAGTTGGGGAGAAGACCTTCCCTTTTGCTGAGCAGGAGCTGTTGGATGAACTCAGCTGTCTGTACTAGTTTGAAAAATATATTTAATGAAAGCTTGGATTCACAAGCACACTTTCACTGGAAAGGCAGAGTTTTTTACTTATTAGGTATTCAAGTAGAATTCCAGCTTCATTTATTTATATTTTAACAGAGTGAAGCAGTCGTGGCACTTTACCTAGGATTTTATTACAGAAATCATTGAGATAAATGCAATGCTGTATACTAATTTCATGGTTTGCTGCATGTTTTTGTGTTGTCTCCGAAACATTAAGTGATACATAATCTAACTTAATTTTGTGAATGAATAGTTTTGTAAGAGCAAATTGTTAACATTTCTTCCCTCTGACTTTCAAGACTTGTAGGGTGGTGGCAGAGCTCTGCTGAAGCTTATTGTGCCTCAGGCAGAGAAGAGGGTCTGCCTAATTAGATCTGTCTGAGATAACTAGTGTCTTCTAAAATTGCATAGGAGGAATGTTAACAAAACCAAGAACCTGAAAAAATGTTGTGTGTACACCCTTCAGAATAATTAAGATAGTGAGAAGGTTCAGTAAAGAGTAGCCTGTGGCCTCTTATATTAAGACACTTGTTCCCTAATTTACCACACAGAGATGGAGCAGGATATGTGGGAGTCAACCTAACTGTGGGTTTGCAATTTCTAAACTTCTGAAGTGTAAAGGAGTGTGCTCCGTAGGGAGCCTCCTCAGAATCTGGGCTTGGGTGAAGGATTTAGGGAACTTGCTCTGACCTCAGTTTGAGTTTTGTCTGGCATGTTTTGCCTGGCATATATACACAAATTTGGTATAATTCTTGTGATCCCCACAGTGTGGCTTTAGTCTTCCAGTGCATGTTTGGAAGTTTCCAAATTTAAATTTGAAAAAAAACCTTTTTTTTTTTCATTCTACAGTGCAGGTTTGAAATATTTAATTATGAAGAATCGTTCTTATTTTTGTAACTGAAAATGCTCTTTTTCTGTGTGTATAGTTGTATATATTATTTACTATGGGCTCTTTCAAGTTGGAATTTCATGTTGTGTTAGTACAGGAATACTGTTCCTCCTCATTGTGGATCACATTCATCAGTACCTGTAAGAGTAAGTTTGAGGAATATTTTTTCTGTGAATGAAATACCCTGTATTCCACATGAAGGCAAGCATGGGATCCTTCTAGCATGTTTTCACACAGCCTGTAAAGTTTTCACGTGAATCTTCTGTGGGAACCGTTGACCCACCTCTGCTGAGTCCTCTGTGTGCCACTGTTTTGTTGGTTGTTTTTTTTTTTATATAGCAGTAAAGCCCAGAACCCTTTGCTATGCTACGAAAATGCACATTTTTCCAGAGCCATGCATATGAATCCTTTGAATGAAGAACACTTTACTGGTTGTCTTGTGTGTGGAATTGCATTGACATACACAAGGATGCAATGAACCAGAAACAAACCCAACAACAAAAACCAGATGCTGGGTGTCTTCAATGACTTACTGTAGTACTGCATCAGAGCTCACTGTCCAGAGGAGAGTAAACAGAAACTATTTTTGAAGTGACAGGCCAGAGTAAAATTGTCTAACGCTCTTCATTTTACTGATGCATCGCGTGGAGGTCTAGAAGCCACATTAGAGAACCGTAATCCTTCATCAGAGCATTTGTTTGGTTGCCTAACATCTGTGGATTGTCAAGATAAGTTATTACACAGACCTGCTTTAGTTTAGATTAGTTTGGACCACATCCCAGTATACTCAATCAGGATATAATTCCTGCATGCCGCTAAATTGCTTGCTCCACATACTTCTCTAAAAATGTTTTTCAATATACAGTTTCGTCAGTGAAACTCTTCTGTCACCTCAAGGTTTGATTGTTTTTTCCTCTTAAAGAAAAGTTGTTTTTTTTTCCTTTTGGACCGAATATGTCTCAAGGCAACCGTAGCATTTGTTATTGCTGAAGAGATTCCTAAGCAGGGATGGTAGTATAGCTTCTGTGTGAGTATAATGGAGATTTCTTACATGTATAATCTATGGTGATTGGTTTGTATTGTGTCCAAACTGCAGAGTTTAAAGCCCACTGTAAGCAAATGGTTTTGTATTTACATGTCTAGTATTTCTTCTGTCAGTATTCTGTATTTTTTGGTGTCTATTTGTGCATTAGCTATTCCTATTTGTTTGCACCTTGTAATGTTTTGCATAAAAGTAATTCCAGTATCAAAGGTGATTATGTAAATTAACAGTAATTTATTGAATTTTATTACATATTTTATTACATATTACATATTTTATGTTATCAGATAGATACATTAAATTGCAAATTAAGTATGTTACCATCTTTACGCATTTAAATGGGCTTGCATACATACACACGTGTAATTTAATTGGAACATTTAAATTTTACTTTAGTATTCCTTATCCTTCCTTTAAAAAAACTCTAGTTGATTAATTTTTTTATTAATAGTACTTTCAACTTTTCTTGGAAACCGATAAAATACAGGTAATATTTTTTGTTATTGACCTTGGTTTATAGCACTGACATAGATTTTATACACGAATAAGTGTGCATGCACTCTCTTGCTGTCTAATAAGATAACAATTGTGTCAGATTCTATAAAGGCATTATAAAATGTGGGGTTTTTTTCCTTTTAGTTTTGGTGGTTTGTTTGAATACCTGTAAAAATAATCAGATAGACTAAAAGTCTATTCTGTTTAGAACAGATAGTCTGATAAACTGAATGTCTGGTTCATGAGGTGTACTAGATGGAGGAAATTACATATTTTGGAATCAAAAGATTTTTTTTTTGTTGAAGGACTAGTATTTATTTTTGTCAAAATTACTGTTCCTATTATCCTACTGAGGGCTATCTGTTTTTATCATAACATATGTAGCTTTTGATTAAGGTTGGGGTTTTTCTAATTAATATATTATTAAATATATTATTATCCTTCTTAAATAGAAGAAATATAACAGTCATCTTTTGATAAAGGTACAATCTGGATCCAGAGTTGGATCCAGAATTGGATGTCTTTTCTGTGCCGCTTGGTCAAACAGTGCAGACGTGCATTTGGAAGTTCTGATGTAGTTTTTAAATCTAAACAGATAGTCTGTGCTGGGGTGTTTTAAATAAATCTCAATTATTTTAAATATGAAAAATGCCTAAAGTTTTCATGGCCTTGTAAGCCATGCACTTCCTCTCCAGGCCAGAGAATAAGAGAGCTTGATATCACATGTTTGTCCTGTTGCAATTTCTTCCATGAAGTGATTTTTTTTCCTCTTCTTTTTAATTTTCAGGTGTTGTATAATTTTGTGAATGTTACATCATTCCTGTGTTTACACAAAATAATGAATATTTTGCCTTCTAACTTGTGTTATCTTTCTTACCTTCATTACAATTTTACTCATTCTTTTATTCTTTCCATATGAAATGAAAAGATTTTCATTATGATTTTCCTTATTAATGATCAGCTTTGTTTCCTCTTATTTCTGTTTTTATTTCTCTCTTGTGTATTCTTCGTGCATTTTGCCTTTTTTGTTCTACCTCAAAACTCTTTTTGTCTTTGTCTCAATTTTTTCTTAAATTTTCACACACTTTAGAGTCTTGATTAACTTTTTATTTTTCTCTGGTGAGTTGATCCTATACATTAGACTGTCTTGTACTATATATAGACTTGAAATATAGAGTCTTGCTTTCATGTATGTGCTCCTGTTTATCTGTGTATAAGGAATTAAAAAAAACCAAAAATTAAAAAAATCCTAAGCACAACTGTTTATGTACACAGCTTAATTGTGATTTCCAGGGACACGTTTGTTTATTTGTTATTTACGACTGTAACTTAAAGAGATGGTAAATGAGAATTTGCAAGTAATACAAAATATGGGACTTCTGTATTCATTTCCTTGGTGTATTTAGTTTGCTGTTAGTAGATTTTTTTAGATCTTACTTTACACCTCTGGTAAGTAGTTGCTATAGATGTAGCTAAAACTGCACAATACATTAATTTTTTTTCAGGATAACATTGAGTTATGTTATGTGAGAAAATTTAATTAAAAGGAAATACTCTGTCGGTCTTCTGTGGCAACGGAGGTTGAGTTAGCTGGGCAGGACTCTACTAACTGAGGTCTGAGTCCTGTTTGCAGTCTGGTGGGCTTGTCTGTCCTGACAGTGATTAACACCAATGAAAACAACCCAACCCACCCCCCAAGCTGCACCAACACCAGCAGCAAGCATTGGTCATGTTGTTGGTGTCTGTTTAGAAGAGAGCTAGGGCTGGGCTGAGGGAGCATTGTTACAGGTAGGACTGATGTATATTGACAAGACATTTTGGAGAAGCTTGCATAGCATGTGCCTGTAGGATGCTTGGCTCTAGCCAGTGCAGTCAGTGCTTGGAGAAGCATGTTCTGGGTCCTGTCATGAGCACCAGCCTCACTAGTTCAGAGAGTGAGAGATCATACCTGCTCTGTGATAGTGAGCATGCATTTCAGGGTTGGGAGGTAGTTGCGCTGACTCTTCTTGTTGTCTTCAACTAGGTTATGTGGGTATGCAATTTATGTCGAAAGCAACAAGAAATCCTAACGAAATCTGGAGCGTGGTTTTTTGGAAGTGGACCACAGCCTTCACCCAGCCAGGACGGAACACTGAGTGATACAGCAACTGGTGGAAGATCGGATGCACCGAGAGAAAAGAAAGCAAGACTTCAAGAGCGATCGAGATCACAGACTCCCTTAAGTACAGCAGCTGCCTCATCACAGGAAATCTCTTCTTCCAGTGTACACTCTGACCGTAGGAAAGGAGCAGAAGTATCACAGCCAGCTATGGGCCTGGACCAAAAGCAAGCTTCATCAAGATCTAGAAGTGAACCTCCAAAAGAGAGGTAATGCTTTCTGTCTTGATAGAGCCTCAAAATTATAAATTCTAGTTCAGCTGGGCCTTGTGTATGTTTAGAACTGTGCAAAAACAAAGAGTAAATTGATTTACTGACCAGGGAAAATAAATTTTTGGTAGAAAATACGTTATCTGATTTGGTCTGTGCAAGAGAAATGATGGGAAAAAAGTATTTTAGGGGTATTCCCATGTACTTCAATGCATTTGGGTGTACACTTTTAAAATAGCATTGTAGGTTACTTTTAAATTTTAAGTTTGGCACTTATTTTAAAGTTATTAAACAAAGAGCAAACCTTTAACTACTCGAATTTTTAAGGCCAACACTCACCTGAAAAATCCCCACCCAGGCAATCAAAAACCAAAACCTGTGGAGTTCTGTCAGTTATCCTCATGTGTTATCTTTTTATCAATGATAGTTCCAGTTTTACTATTAAAAATAACACAATTAAAATAGCTCATTTACACCTGTGAAGTTACCTTTCATAAAGAACAGCAATAATACCATCTTGAATTCAGAACAAGTTGTATGCAAGAATAAAGCCAACCAGAAGCAAACTATTATAAATGAGTAAATGAGTTAATTCTTGAGCTGAATTCACTGTGATGAATGAGTTGAGGAGCAGCAAATCAAGAGAGGCTAATGTGATGAAGCAGTTGTTGTTCTTTTGGCTGCTGACAGGCAGATGGCAGAGCAGTTGAGCTGCGGCAACAAAATGAGTCTGCCATAGAAGATCCTCCCTTGGCCAGAATGGTTGATGATTTTTTTTCGTAGCTATTGGAGCTGAAAATGGATGATGAGCAGTGGCTAATAACTTACTGTTGAGATGAGATCTGTCTCTGAGTGAGATCTGTCTGGGTTTAACTGTATCAAAATTCAGGTTAGTATTATGTATATGTATGATGTAAACAAACATATGGTACCCTCGGTTGACTTTTTTCCACCATGACACTGGGAAGACCCCCAGAGCAGTTGCCACTTTTAAGGTAGCAAAATGCTTTCTATTTCTGCTTTGCTGTCCTAAAGTTAGATGGTTATTTTAATTATACAAAAAATAGTGTTCTCTACTTGTCATTGAGTGTTCCAAATGAAGTCCTATGAAATACCTATCTATAGTAAGCTCAGGTCTCATTTATTGCAAAAGACTCAGGAGGAACAGGAGATGGGAAAAATCTGTTCTGTCAGATGCTTCTGTGAGGATCTCTGTGACGATCTTTGATATGTAATCCAAAGACATATTAGTTGTGGAAGGGAAAATTCAGTGCCACAAACCAAATCCTAGTGACTTTGTCCTGGTGTGCTTCAATCTCAAATATACTTTATAGCTGTGTTCATCCTTATTCAAAATCAGTGGATTCATATGTGAACTGGTAAACAAAAGGGCAACTCAAATGATGAGAGAAATAAAAATATCCAGCATAAGGGGATTTTATGATTCTTTGCCTTGCTTATTTTCCGAAAACAGAATATGAAAGAGGAGAGAAAACTATTTTCATGCGGCTTCATTATTCATTTCTTTATACTTCGTCTGTATAGAGAAATAAAATTTTCATCCTCTTTTATTATTAGAGAAAGGAATGCCATTAATTTATCTCAAGGAATCAATTTGCTTTTCTTTATATGCTTATAAAATGGGCACTTTTTTTAGAGTTTTAATAAGATAAAGAAAACTAGGTCAAATACTCTTTCTGGATATATTATCTTTTGCAGTTTTTTATATCCGTATTACTTCTTTCTGTAATATTTGGTAGATACTCCATTTAGTGGTATTTATATTCGTGCCGTAAGGGCACTCAAATTGTGTAGTTAGTCTGTAACTCTCATATTTGCTGCCAGAAAAATGGAGAATATACTCCAGTACTTTGTCATAATGCTGCAGTTACTACAAAGACAACTTTGAGTATTCCTACTTACGAGGGTAAATTCTCTTTATTTGTATTTGTCCATGTTAATATTCTTTTTTATTTTAGTCATTAATTGGACAATACATAATTTATGGGTTTTTTTGCTATTAGACAATAAAAGTAAGTTGGAGGGATTAATAGGTTTAAATCATGCTAATGGATCCAGTACTTTTCTGTTTTGCCGTAGTTTATCTTGATTTATAATCTGTTTTCCATAACTGTGTATGCAAGTATTTCTATTTTCCAGTCAATCCTTCATATTACTGTACTCCTTTTCATTGTAGGAAGAAGGCAATTTTGGTTTCAGACCAGAATGGCAAAGGTTTAAAGAGTGAGCGTAAGCGTGTGCCAAAATCCTCACTTCAAAAAGAAGGACCAACAGACGACAAGGAGCGCAAAGAGCGGCATGAAGGCAGAAGGCTGGAGAAAGGCAAGTCACAGGACTACCCAGACTTGCCAGAGAAACTTGAGGAAGGCAAATTGCCTGATGATGAAAAACAAAGGAAGGAAGATGAATATCATACCCGCTACAGGAGTGACCCCAATCTGGCAAGATATCCTGTAAAACCACATCCTGAGGAACAGCAGATGCGCATGCATGCGAAAGTTTCTAAAGTACGACACGAGAGAAGACACAGTGATGTAGCTTTGCCGCACACAGAAATGGAGGAAGCGGAGGTACCTGAGAATAAATTAGGAAAACGCTCACAATTACAGGGAACTCAGGACAGAAAATCTCTTGTGGAAACTCAGAGGTCGTACTCTATAGACAGAACAGGTGATGTAAGAATTTCTGTTTCTAAACAATTAACTAATCATAGCCCACCAACTCCCAGGCATAGTCCAGTTCCTATAGAACACGTAGAATACAAGAACCACGATTCCTTTATAAAACAGAGCCGCCTTGATCCTAGCTCTGCTATTCTCATGCGAAAAGCAAAGCGGGAGAAAATGGAGACCATGCTAAGGAATGATTCCCTTAGCTCTGACCAGTCGGAATCAGTGCGGCCATCCCCTCCAAAGCCTCATAGAGCAAAAAGAGGCGGAAAGAAAAGGCAGATGTCAGTTAGTAGCTCAGAGGAAGAAGGGGCATCAACACCAGAATATACTAGCTGTGAAGATGTGGAGATAGAAAGTGAAAGTGTCAGTGAAAAAGGTAAGGACTTTTCTGTATATTATGCACATGGCCATGGTTTGGGGAAAAAAAATATCTGTATTTTTCTTTCTCTTTTGCTTCTTTTTTAATAATAAACCTTTCTATTTCCCCTTGCCTTTCTTTTTCCCAACTGAGAAGTGTCTTACACCTGATTACATTTGCTTTACGGTGTTTCCTTCTGCATTCTTAGATGAGGTGGTTACAGGTAGCATCAGTTGATGAGTTTCTTCTTCATTCTCTTCCCTCTTTTTGTGTAGAACTGACAGAATTTAAGGGTTCCAGTTTACTTTCTCAATGATATCTGTACTTCTTTGGGCATTGCTTCATTCTGTTGTCTGTATGTAGAATAGTTTTCTATAAGATTAATTGAAATGAAAAGTGAGTTCTGTAACAACCAGAAAGACCATTTTAAAGCATCTAATCTTACTGACACCTCAGTTTTAAGAAATGCAAATTTTTACTACATTCAGTAAAATATCAAAAATCTGCCAGAGTTCATTGTTAATAAGGACAAGATATGGGGCAATGGGACTGTTATGTAGGAAAGAAATGAGAATTAACAAAGTTGTCTCGATGAATGTTCTTCCGAGCTAAAAAGTGTGTTTAAAATCTGTTATTTGAATTTGTCTTGCTCTGCTGATGGGAACACTCAGCAGTAAGAAATAAGTTGTAGTACACTGTGTGCTTTTAAACAAAGCCTTTCTTCTGGCTGAAGAAGGGAATCAAAATCATGAAGGGTGAACAGATAAAATAAGCACTGTCAGAAAACACTGTAATAGAACTGATAGAACTTAGCAAGTGTCTTATAACCCTACATTGTCTTTAAGTGGCACTACAGTGAGCTGAAAGCTTTTTGTGTCTTTGGAAGTAGCTTTTAGCTCTCAATTTCATTACCTGTGTTTTTAAGTTGAAAGTTTTCTGTTGCTATTCATAATGAAAATGCCAAAGGTTTGTCTGCATTGCCTTTTAGTTCCTGGCACTTTCCTGACATGTCTTTAATTCATATATGCTGACCTCTCTGTCTGTCTGTATCTGATGTTGTGGTCTCCTAGCATTCCCTAAAGTTCCAGGTATACAAATAAAAGAGACGACATTTCTCTCCTATCCCACCTGAATAGCTTGTTTTAACTTTCTAAGCATTCCATTTAAAATATGGAAGCTTGCTTTTCTGCTCATTTTTAAGGAGGGATGAAGATCGTGCCCTGAAATCTTATTCCAGATTCCACTAAGACATAAAAAACCTCTCCCTTTTTTTGACTGTGAGTTTTGTCAAATAGTGGAATGTGTCACATAGAGATGTTGCACAGAGATGCTTGAAACCTAAATGAAGAAGGCCCTGCATTATCTTTTGAGGAAGGGGGTTTGAACTAGCGACCTACAGAGGTCCCTTCCAGTCTTTTTCTAAGAGAACACATCTCTTTTCCTTATTTTGTGACAATGTTTTATGCTGACATTTGGATTTGTGTAATTTTCTCTGACTCCCTTGGTTGGTAGTAACAGTGTAATATAGCATTTATTTTCTATCTTTGTCTTTTGCTTTCATTATGTTTATTAATTTGAGGTTGCTTACGAAGTAGAAAGGATTTTCCATATTCAGTGTAGGTTATCATTTTAAACTGCAAGGTCGTTGTTGTGAAAGTCAAGTCCAGGATGAAAGTTACTGATATCAATATGTTGATATAGTTTGTTTTATAACAGTCCTTTGTGAGTTAAACCTTTCAGTAGTTGCTTTCAGGATTTCAAATGTTGCTAAAGGCTTAAGGTTTTAATAACTGAATCAAGTTCTTGGTTACCTCTGAGACAGATATTTCACCTCCTCTTTAGACAGTGGAGACCTTGGTTTGTGTCATATCAGAGTGCTACCTCACTATATTTGAATAAAAATTATTAATAGGAATGTTAGGGACCTGTCTGACCACTGCCGACTCAATACTTGATTAACATTGTTGAGCATTCCTTGAGAACTTTTATGTAATTGATAGGAAGCTAGCACTGTGTTATTAATCAGATTATAAATATATATATATATAAATGTATATATATGAGGAGGTATGCGATGCGTTAAATGCATTAATTACAGAAGTATACTTTTTAGTTTAGTAACTGTGAGATGTAGCTGTTAATTTTTTTGCCTGATTTTCAGTATGACTTTTCCCATGACAAGGATTGTAAGTGAAAAGCCTTTGGAACTGTGGGGGGTATAGTACATAAAAAGGAGCTAGGAAATGTGAATACTAATGAGAAAGCAGAAGCATTTTTGATGGTAAAGTATCCGATTACATTTACAATTACATTTTCATCAGTACTTGAATTAATATGCAGTATTTCATAAGAATAGATGGAAAGGCAAGGAATTTTATCACCTGAGAAAATATTTTAGAAATCCTCCAATATTCTAAAAGAAAATACGCTACAGTAAAAAGATTTAGTTAAAAAAAATGTAAATAATTTTAAAAATGCCCCTATTGTAACCACAGTCATAATACCATTCTTTGCAATTTAGCAGCATTGTTACAAACAGAATTTCACCTACCATTTCTTCAGTTATAATGCTTTAGTTTGTAAGCACAGGAGGACCTGGAATCCATCCTCTCTTATCTAAATATCAGCTCTGTCAGAAACTGGATGCCAAAGTAATACAGATGGAGCTGGAAAGATAGAATTATAGCAAATAAAATTTTTTCAACTTCCAATGGCCCCATCAAAAAACCCCAAGATCTTAAAAGTAATGTTTGCATTTGGTGAGTGCCAATATAAAGCAATCTGCAACTGGGTAATAAAGATGTACTATTTTCAGTTCTATCTTGAACAAATAAAATGGCAGTTACTCTGAAAAAAAGATTACAAAGATGTTTAAAAGAAAATGATACCCCATAGAAATATAAGGCATAGATAAAGCAATTAAGATTGTATTGAAAATCAATAGCCAAAAATATCTTATGAAGTAAATATTGTGCAAATGTTGCTTTTAAACCTTTTCATTTCTTAGAAACAGTTTAGTATTGCATTACCTTGTCTTCTGAGCATAAGAAGCCTTAAAAAAAGCAAGCTACTTTAGCTAGTACATTCCCTGCTATTTCCTGTAACCATTTAATATGGTTAATTTATTCAAAATTATTAAAAATAAGTTCACAAGCCCTTGAAAATACTTTCTCTCCAAAAATTAATGTCTTTTGCAACCCACCAGGATTTTACGTCTGTGGTGGAGGACCCAAAGATTTATGTCAAGTTGTTTCCATTTCTGGAGTAAATCTAGAGAAAGAACTGTTTAGCAGTGTCCAAAAAGGACATAACAAATTTCTTTTAAAAAAATCTGCACCCTTTACAAGACACTACTACTGATTGCTGATAATCATTTTCATCATATTATTAATTGAGGCTGTAGGACCCCTTATTCTGAAATCTGTAATAGTTGAACAATAGGTAGACTGAGTTTCCAGTGAAGTCCTGGCAAGGCAAAAGGAGTCCTCAGAGAAAGCATAAATTACATTCATACTTGCTTTAAAGACATACTAGGATAACATAAACCATACTATTAAAAATGAAATCCAGACCTCATTTTAGAACTGAGAACAGCTTCTGCCTACTGCCATCCAGTGAAGAATGCAAATTGTATTTGGAGTAAGTTTGTGAAAAAATATTTTCTTTAAAGTTGAAAAAGAAGAATTTGTATAAAACCAGTAGATATGTGCCCAGATAACTTTGTAAAAAATTTATTTTATCCCATGGTAGATACAAGAGATATTCTAGAATTCTGTCATGGAGTCTTTGAAACTGAAAGATGAAATAATGTTGGAAATTGGAGCAATGTGTACTAAAAGCTGCTTCTGTACTTTTATGTACATAGATGTGCTAATGGTTTTACATTTTGCATACTTATTGTTTGTATTTGCCTAAATGTGCATTTTGTTCACACTGTATAGGCTAGAAAATGTGACTAACACTCACATACTGTCAGCAAAATGTTGAAAAGCTAAGTAAAACTCACTCTATATACTTGCTAATGGGTTTATTTGGGAGTGAGGAGAGCATGATAGAGTTGGCGCCTTGTTTGAAAAATAACCTCCTGAGATGACTTTCTGGTTTCTTTCAGTGAAGATGTGATTGTTTCATTCATAGTGTGTTTTGCGTGGTACTGTGAGGAACAGGGCGACCCAATTTCATTTCTTTTCATTCTTATGATGTTAACTTCTGGTTAGAAAATATTAGGGGCAAGGATCTTGCTATTTTCTTGGTTTATGCCCAGGTGTGAGGCAGGGGGGTTGTGAGCAGGAGGAGAGGACAGGGAGGTCAGGAGTAGAGGTTTGCAGACAAATGTGTTGGTGCTGGCTCAGCTCCAGGAGGAGAGGATCTTGTCTCTTCCTCCATCCTCTTCTGGTGTTCCTGGTGTCACTTTGGGCGCTTGTGCTTAGGGGTGCTGCCAGGGGAAGGAAAGCATATATGAAATCTTTCCCCCAGTGATTTATACCAAATTCTGTAAGCATTGTTGGCAAGGAAGGTAGCCTGTGGGCTAAGACACAAACCACACACATGCATTAGTGTCTGCAAAGGGACCAAAAGAAAACATCAGGAAAAGACTATAGAGAAGAGGAGGCTGGTTTTAAATGTTTTTTAGTTAAACTTTTTCACTAAGGTATTTTCAATTTGGAATGTAGGCAAGTCAAGTTGTACTGTAACATCTGCTAGGATATTTTAACATCTGTTTGCATAGACTTGGGCATGGAGTTTTAAAACTGGAGCTGAATTTGTTTAAAAGTGTGATTGAGCTTCAACTTAGTGTAAAATAAAATACCCTTGCTAGGAAACTTGTTAGTTCTTAGAAATTAGTTCCAATTTATCTTCTGGTCCTTATGCAGTAATTTAGATCTACATCTGATTTATATTTTAATGGAAATATAAGCTAAAATGGATCTAGTTTCAGAATTTTGGTCAGAGCTAACTAATCAATACTATCAGTATTCAGTGCTTTTGAGCAGCTGAAATTATTTACAGTGCTTGTT